TTGAGGCCATCATGCTAAATGAAATAAGCCAGTCACAAAAGGACAAATACTAAACACTGTATTTACATACATATATACATTTATATACGGTGTCTAGAGCAGTCAAATTCACAGAGATAGAGAGTAGAAGGGTGGTGGCCAGGGGCTGGGGAAGAGGGAGTTGGTGTTTCCTGGGGACAGAGTTTCAGTCTGGAAGACAAAAAAGTTCTAGAGGCAGATGGGGCTATAGTTGCCCAACAATGTGAATGCCATTGAATTATACACTTAATAAAAATGGCTAAGAGGGTAGGGGCGCCTGGGTGGCTCAGTTGGTTAAGCCTCTGACTTCAGCTCAGGTCATAATCTCATGGTTTGTGAGTTCAAGCCCCATGTCAGGCTCTCTGCTGTCAAGGTGGAGCCTACTTCAGATCCTCTGTCCCCTTCTCTCTCTGCTCATGCTCCCCAGCTCATGCTCTTTCTCTCTCTCTCTCTCTCTCTCTCTCTCTCTCTCTCTCTCTCTCTCAAAAATAAACATTTTTAAAAAATGGCTAAGGGGGTAAATTTTATGTTCTATGTATTTATCCCAATTAAAAATTTTTTAAATGTTTAAAGAGGTCAAATTGGATCACCATGCTATGTGGCCCAAAGGGCCTCCCATTCTCTCCCTCAGGGGTGTCACCATCTGAGGATGTCCCCTGCATGTTAGGGCCCCAATCACAAGAAGAAGAGGATTCATGGGGCCGTGGGAGCTCAGGAGGGAGCAGGGGTTGGCTAAAAAGAGGGGCTAACTCTCATATGCCCATACAGTGAATCCCAAAGGCAGTAGGGAGAACACTGAATTCTGGCTCCAATTACCAACAGAAAACAACTCAGCAATTTCCTACCTTGAGAAAGGAGTCCTGTGATACCTATATTGTCTTCTGGTTTAAAAAGACTTTTAACTATTTTTTTTTAATGCAAGGTAATTGTCTCCCAGATAACCCTTCTAAAGTCGAAACAGCGATGCCAAGGGGAAAATAATTTCTTTGAAATGTCATTTCTTTTACAGCTAGATGAGCCTTTTCTAAAGCTACTCAACCGAGGGTTCTGAAATCCCCCTAAGCCAGGTTACAGATGCTGCACAAAGCAGCTACCGGATGGGAACCCACGTTCTTACTGGGTTCTGGTGAGATGTCAGGGGGCCACCGTGCTGCATGAACAACAAGCCAAGAAGACCAGACATGAGAAAAATGCTCACCAAATGTGGGTATGAGAGAGGAGGGCCTGGTGTGTGGATGGCCCAGCTCCTGCACCCACCGGACCACTCATACATCCCATCTCCCAGCGTGGGCCTTCTCAGAGGGCAGCCCAAGAGGCAGGGACCACCACATTCTATGAACCCTAACCCTCAGGAGAGCCGGATCTGGAGGGCACTTCTGGAATGAGCTAGAAGGATTAGAAGAAACCCACATTGGGCAGATGGCAGCTCTGAAACTTCTAGAAAAGACCCCCAGTTCCCTGTATGCGAAGTCCCCTTTTTTCACTTTTTTTTTTTCAATTTTTAATTTTTGAAGAAATGTATGATGTCCCCTCTGGCGAGAAATCAATGATTACCATATATCCAGGCTGAGATACTACATCTTAGATTTGTTCAAACCCAAGCTGTCCATCATGCCCTGCCTGCAGTTAAGGAAGGGTTGTGACACATTCAGACCTTGGAGGACAACATTCGTTCCCAACACCTAACTTCAGGGTGGAGCAGGCAGGAAGTAAAACACGGTAAGGTGCAGGGAGGCCCGAAGTGCACTCAGGCTTTGAGAGCTGGCCAGGGAAACCAGCTGTGCCTTCTGTTCTTTCACCCAGAGATGGCTGCATTCTGCCCATCTGGCCCTGGACAGGCCGAGGAGGGAGAGGTGCCTCACGTGGCCTTCTCCGTCCCTCACAGCCTCCCACTCCATAGTAGACACTGGGGGGAGGAACATAGACCTGCCGGTCCCTGGTTGTGCAGAACCCCCAACTCCACCCCCCCTCCAGCCCAGTGAGCTCTGGGATTGGAAGCAAGTGAAAGACAAGAGCTTAGAATAGACCCAGGTGTCAGAAGGCCTCTACACACAGTCCAAATAAGGTGTCTGGAAACATGAGCTTATCTAACTTATGGGGAAAACTGGGGGAAACCTAGGTTAGTCAACCAGTCAGATCAGAGAGAATCCTATCTACCTGTCTCTAGGGCTTTCCTTCTTCCGGACAAATCCTTCCCACCCTTCAGCTTCCAACGCCCTTCCCCATTAGCTCCCTTGTCCTGATCACCCAGTTCACAGGGCTTCAACAACGGTCCACATCACTCCTGCCCCTCTACTAACTAACACCCAGCACTGCTTGCTATTTTCTTCGGTGTATATAAACCGTTCCCCTCTTATGCTCTATATAAGCTTCCTGATACCCTTACAATTCCCTAAAAATCCTAGTATACAGAGAAGGCATTCCAATACACATTGGCCAGATAATATTTATTTTTAAATAGGAAATCTAAAATATGTAATTTAAGAAAACACGATACATGTGAATTTACTTGGAAGAACTTAAAACCAAGACCCAAAGTTCAAACCTACATGAAGTGCCCATGTGGGCTTGGGTGACTCACCAATGATTTGATGATCCCAGGGCCTTGTGGGGAAAGCATGTCTGTCTCCCAAAGAAGAAATACGGGCACTTGGGGCCACTGCTGAGAACACAGAGAATAGTCAGAGAAGAATAGACACATAAGACTTTACAAAACACGACTTGGATAGAAATGTACAGTGTGGAAGCATAAATGAATGTATTCTTCTCATGGAAAGAATTTTAATCCTATTTGTCATGGTTGAGGCCGAAGTCTTTTCTAAAACATTCAGGTTAACCAAAGATTCTGAATCGTAAAGAAACCACACATCCCTGTGGATTAGCTTGTTTTCAAAGAATCAGAATCCAATCATATACACACTAAAACACAAACACTCTGCTGAGCACGAGTTCATCTTTCTTCGATAGTTCAGAGAGCACTTGAGGATTCGGAAGTCGCTTCGGGTTGTTGTGAGAAGCTTCTAGCAAGCAGGGAGAGTCCTAGTGTGGAATAAATCAACATTTATGGCGCTTCCATTTTAACCGTGCGATCCGTTTTAATACAACAATTCCTTATTGAACGCTAGATTCTGTGTGGGATGCAGACGTGAGCAAGACAGCACCCCCACCCCCAGCTGTTTGTGACCTAACAGCTTGCAAGGGATGTAAGCCATGTCCCAGGACGGGATGTTATGCTTCCATCACGGAAGAGGGAGAACTCAATCTGACATTAGATGAATGGGGTAATCTAGTTGGCTTTGTTGGTTTACCTCACAGTTCTTTGCCCTTCAGCAAAGCAGAGACTCTATGAACTCCAGAACACTCCTGAATTCGTGTCACCCCAAACAAACATCTCTTGGGACTGGCGAGAAGAAGGGTGATTTAGAGGCCTCTGGGACACAGGGCAACTCTAAGGAGCAGGTCTGTGCTGTGGTCTGAGACCTTCTTCTTCCCACCTCCCTTGCAGCTCCCCTGCCTGCTCCTGCTCCCCTCCTTTAAAAAAAAAAAAAAAGTTTGTTTATTTTGAGAGAGCGCATGAGCAGAGGAGGGGCAGAGAGAGAGGAGGAGAGAATCCCAAGCAGGCTCGCACTGTCAGTGCAGAGCCCAACGTGGGGCTCGAACCTGCAAACCGTGAGATCATGACCTGAGTGGAAATCAAGAGTCAGACACTTGGGGCACCTGGGTGGCTCAGTGGGTTAAGCGTCAGACTTCAGCTCAAGTCACGATCTTGGGGTCTGTGAGTTCAAGTCCCATGTCCAGCTCTGTGCTGACAGCTCAGAGCCTGGAGCCTGCTTTGGATTCTGTGTCTCCCTCTCTCTCCGCCCCTCCCCACTCATGCTCTGTTTCTCTCTATCTCTCAAAAATAAGTAAACATTTAAAACAAAAAAATTTTTAAAGAGTCAGATGCTTAGCCAACTGGGCTACCCAGGCGCTCCTCCCCTCCTTTACCCTGCACAGACGGGCAGCTCCCTCACCCAACCTCCTGCATGTCTCACTCTGTCTTGATGTCCGCCTCTCAGAGAACCCAAACCCCACCCTAGAGAAAGCACAGCACGCAGGCGCACATGGCCCTGTCTGCTTGTGGTTTGCCATCTTTGGGGGAGCAGAGAGAGGAATCAAACATGCACACAGGTAGGTCTGGCGGCGGGGGGATGGACAGGTCCATGGTGCTGAGCCATGGTGCTGAATGGGGCACCTGGCTTCGTCTGGCAGGGTCTCTGAGTGACATCTGGCTGAGCTTGACAGATGAGCAAGAGGTGTAGAGGTCACAAGGGACACTGCGGGGAAGAGCCAGAGAGGAAGGAACAAGGCCAGCTGGTGGCGTGGTGTGGAGGACACTGCTGATGGGCAGGGGCGGGACGGAGCTGGACGCCGCTGTGTGTCCTGGCCACATCCAGCCTGGGCCTTTGCCTGGAGAGGGATGGACGGTCTTTGAACGACCTGAAGCAGGGGAGGGGCATGATCAGATCTGCACGTTTTGACAGATCACTCTGTGGAGAAGGGACCACACGGAAGCAAGAGAGGCCACCAGGAGAACAGTTAGAGGACACCACACAGGAATGCCTGGGTGGCTGAGTCAGTTAAGCAACCAAATCTTGGTTTGGGCTCAGGTCATGACCTTGAGGTTTGTGAGTTCGAGCCCCAAGTCAGGCTCTGTGCTGTCAGCACAGTCTCCCACCCTCCACCCCCCTTCCCCAAGCAGTGTGTAGACACACCAACGATCGGGGGCCGAGCGAGTGCTCTTGTCAATGAATTCTCCCAGCAAAATTATCACCACAGGCTTGCTGACATGTTGTTCTTCACAAGCTGACACTCTCCATCCCTTTGAAAGACAGATTGTTTTCCTAGATGGGATTGTTCACCAGCTGCTCGTGGTGAGCACAGCCACTTCACCGTGATCTAGCATTTCCGTAATCTTCAAAGCCACATGCACTGCGGGTACAGACAGGTCTGCAGGGCACGGCCCTCGCAGCCAGCCGCTGGGAGTTTGTGACAGCAAAGCTCTGTCTGGTTTCCTATCAGCCTCGTGGTCACCCAGATGCCAGCATTTGGACTCCCAAGCTGCAGACATCACTTCCTATAATAGCCTCACAGTCAAAAGGGACAGGTTCCACCCAGAATTGTGGCAAGAATGTCAGCCCTGACTGAGTCAAGGAAACTGACAAGATGGCACTGCCTGGAACACAGGAGACAGGTATGTGCTAAAAGTACGAAAATGAGCAAAAGAATGATAGACACAGCACAAGCTGGCTGGGGGAGGGGACATGATTCGCGAGGGACTTCAAGGGTAACGTTCCATCGCTCAAGCGGGTGGTAGTTACGTGGGCGCCGACAATATATGCAACCTATGAATAACAGAATTTTTATAACTGTGAGGTAGTCTGTAATGTGTTTTCAGTACCACAGTCCCTGCCCTCAAGGGGCTCACAGCTCGGTGGACAAGGCAGAAACGTCAACAAGCAGATGCAGAATGGGCCAGAAGCAATCCTACCACAGGAGGGAGGGAAGGGCCTCGTGGAGGAGCTGACCCTGCCACCGAACTGAAAGACTGAGGCTACGGAGGCCATAAAGGAGGTGAGGTCACTGTCAGTGGAGGGAAGGAATGGAGGTAACAGCTCAAAGAAGTTCAAAATGTCTGGGGCCCAGGCAGGCGTGGCCCCTGTGGAGAAGGAGGCAGACAGCAGGCTGTGAGGAGCCCAGGTGGCAGACAGGTGGGGCTGGAGCCCAAGGCAGGGCCCTGTGCTGGAGAGAAGAGAGGGGAAGCACAGTTGGCTGGTGGAAATCCATACGAGCCTGTGATGCCACCTAAGGAAGAATTCTGGAAAAAGAGGAAGCTGGGGGAAAGAAGTGACTGGAAATGACTGAGGGTAACCATGTGGGCTCCAGGACGTGTGGGCTGTGGGATATCGGTGTTGCCACGTGCAGCCCGATGCGTCTGGCACCATTCTTGGTGTGTGGACACTAGTCACCTCTTGTCCTCAGTTTTAGCTCTCCAGTGGAAACACTGAATGGTCCCCAAACTTGGCTGCCCAGCAGAGTCACTGGGGTATCCTTCCAAAATTCCAAAGTCCCAAGCTGATGAAATCACAATGTTGAGGCATGAGACTCAGTGCCCCCAGTGGGATTCCAGTGGGAAACCAGGCCTGGGAACCTCTGCTCTAGGAGAAAGTCCTATTTAACATCCTGGTGTGCTCAGAATCCAAGTGCGTCATAAACAATGTTCGCCACACCACAGAGAATGTTGCTTTGCAGAATCTTCTCTTTCCCTTCAACTTTTTTGTTTCTTGAAATGTGGCTGTTAGCTGTGAGCCTCTACACGTGGACAAAGTGTGGCTTGAAGTTAAAATATGTCCCCATACATCTGTTCTAAATCTTCTAGCCTGGATAAGGCTCCCACTTTCAGTCAAACAGTGGGAGTCCTGGGCCCCACAACATGCTCTCCCACGAGGAAGGGGCCGGGAGGCAAGCAGCTGCTGTGAGCGGTCTCACTTCCCTAAGGCGCAGGGAGGGGAACGGGGGGGCCAAACAGCAGGTCAACATTCAGCCCACTCTGGAGTGTAAGGGCCAAAACCCACGCATGCAACATGCAGTGTGGATTCTGGACTAGATCCTGCAACAAAGAAAGGATATTGGTGGAAAATCTGATTTAGATCTGTAGTTTAGTTCGCTGTACCAGTGTCCATTTCTGAGATGTAATAACTGTGCCATGATTATACAAGCTGTTAGCATTAGGGGAAACTGAGGAAAAAGAACCCTGTCATGTCTTTGCAACTCTTCTATAAATCTGTAAGTATTCCAAAATAAAAAAAAACTTATTTAAAAAACAGGTACACAAGTGTGCACACACGGTTTATGGACCTGTACCTTGCACTAGGAAAGGTTATGGACTCTGGAGACAGACTGCTGGAGTTTAAAATGTAGCTCTCCCAGTTCTCGGTGAATGCTGTTCACCAGCCTCTCTGCTTGCATTGTCTTGTTCCTTAAAGGGGGCTCTAGTTCATGGAATTGCTGGAGAGAGAGATAAGATTATGAACTTCACTGCCCTATACCATGCCTGGCACAGAGTAACCATTCAAAAGCTGTTTTTACTTTCAATTCAGGAATAAAAGCAAGAATATCATCCTGAAGCAAAGACACCTGGACATGGGCACTTGGAGGCAGAGTTCAAGGCAAATCTAAAGCAAAGCAGCCTCAGGCCTGACTCTAAGCCTTTTTCTGTACTGTTAGTAGGCTCCTAGAGGCCAATAGCGATCTGTTCTTTCTCTGTCTCTTTCTGTGTGTGTGTGTCTCTCTCTGTCCTTCCCTGTCTCTCTGTCTTTCTCTTTCTCTTCTCTCGCTGTCTCTCTGTCTCTCTCCCTCTCTCATGCACACGCGCGCGTGCACACACACACACACACACACACACACACACACACCATCCAGCACAAAGTCACAACCTATACTCTCTTGCCAACCAATACCTTCCTACCTCTCTGATCCACTTTTCTGTGTTCTGTTTTCTTTTCTTTCTATGCCTGGATTTACTTCCTCCAGCTGAAGCAAGTGGTTGAGGAATTTAGCAGCAAGAGATTCACAGACCACGTGAAAGCGTTTGCTCTGAAGTCACTGAACAACCTCTCTCCGCAGTGCTATTAATTCTTATAAACGATTGTCTTTTTCTTTTCATGTAAAGTGCTACTCAAAACTCTGATCGCCATCTGAACCCCCCTCAAGAGTGCTGCTAGCTACAGATGGGTGTCTCTAATGAATTTTTTAACTGCTGCCCTAATAAAATATGGATGAACCAGAAGGAGCCCTCTTTGTAGCTGTTATTTCAAAACAACCAAACAACTTAAGTTCCTGCTCTTAGATGTGCAGCAAAGAGTTGCAAGCTCTCACATGCACCCTAGCAAAAGATCGCTTTTTTTCATGCTAGTTCATCTGCAAAGTTCACAGTTACCTTTTTAATGCCATATTTTATGCATGGGGCTTATTTTCATGGCTTTCTAAATGCCCCGCTTTGTGTGCCAAATTTGCGATATGTTTATTAAAAAATGATCCCAAATTGTCAGCACTTTGCACATAAGTAGTGCCCTGGAGACTGGAGCGTCTTTCAAGGAAGTCCCTACTTGGCACTAAATTTTTATAATACTCAGAATTTAAGCCCACATCAAAGGTTTGTGCCACTCTAAATGCCTGACCTTAAAAATGATACAATTATAGCATTGCAAATGTACTGCTCAATGGCCCTATTAGAAAACAGGAGGAAATTCGGTATTTTTTTCCCCACACTTCACTATAGAAATTTGGCGCACTGGTCCGAGGGAATAAAAGAGAGATCAGCATTATACAACTCCTGTGGCATAAAGATCTGGACTCCATATGCATGCGGCTAGGTGCTGAGGGGGACCTGTATCTCAACCTGGGTCTGAGATGTAAGGAAATATATTTTAATAGAATATGATTGCCTTTTGTCTACACTTGAGGATTCCTCTTTTATAAAACTTCTCTAGTCTCACTTCATATTGAGATGCTATATATAGCATCCAGGTTTTAAGAGGCCATGACTACATCCAGAAAGCTCAAATCTCTCTGACTCATTCAAATCCAAACGACATTTGGAGTTGATGATAACGAGGCAGGGGTGGACTGGAGGTAACCTTCATGCTACCCACCAACGAAGGGTTTGTCTAAACAGTAATACTTTAACACTAATTCGGAAGATGACACTGGGGAATACTTAGGATATTTAAGAGAACAAACTTTTTTCAAGTATCCATTTACATTCATGCAGTGCAAGTTAATTATAAAGAATTCCTGTCTCTTCTTGCCTTTAGAGTGCCTCGTTACTGTGGAATGATCTCGAACAAAGCAATACATTTTACCACTAAGAATAAGCCCCCGCAGATGCTTTGATGCTCAAGTGTCTGAAGCACGCTTTGGTTACAGCAATATGTTTCCACACTGTGGAAAGTGACTAATCACCCTCACTAAACTCCTTTTGAAAGCTTTTGTTCCCAAAGTGGCATATTTTATGATTTTTAAATTATTAAGATGAGATGCTCCCGTCTCCACCAGTCACTCCTCTCAGATAGATACCACATGTGCACTCAGATCAGGGCCATCTGCCAGAGGAGGCAAAGAGCCCGAGGCGCTGGCCGCTCCCCTGAGGGCTAGGATTCGCCTGTGGTGAGGACACAGCCGCGGGTAGCACAGCCGGGCACACCGCCAGACAGCAAGCAGGGGAAGTCACGCCCGCAATCCGAGGCCGTGCTCCCCGGCAGGTGGGTGTGCGTCGGTGAGGGATGGTTGCCCCACTGGGCACACACTCACCGGTAAGCTGTGACAGTGCCCAGCTCTGTGAGCTCAAGTCACCCATGCGACCTGGTGTCCACCATCAACTATCCACCAGAAGACAAGCTACTGCCGAACATCCCCGAGGTGACGTGAATGATGTTCTCAAGAGCGTTCTGAAGTTAGACTGCCCCTCTTTGGCTCGTCCAAGGTCACCTTCCCCGAGTCTCAGCTTTCTCATCTGGAAATGTTACTCGACCTTTCCTTGCAAGGTGCAGGCCCTTGAGAGCCTGCACTCTGAGCCACGTGTCCACACCACCTTCTCTCAGCATAGCCGCAATCTCACATCTGCTGGCATCGACCAGGACAGTGGAGCAAGCATCTTCACGTCACGAAGCTGCCTGCCTGCCACACAGGACAGTGAGGCACCCTTCCTCACTGGTTCTCACCACCCTTCCCAGGAGAAGCAGGGCAGAAACAACAAGTTCTTCCTCTCTGCCTTCCTGTTTACGGCTCCATCCCGATCAGCCCTCTCTGGTAGTGCTCTTTCTTCAGATAAGACCGGTGCCATGGTTCAGATGTCAGTTTTCCTATTTACAATCTCACTGCAGCCCTGCCTGGAGATCACAGCAAAGTCCCCTGGGAGCGTAGGACATTTACAGACAAGCCCTGAGTTACCTCTGTAAATGACTAATTTCATCCGTTATGCATGAGGTTTACCGTTTTAATATTCAGAGAGAGGGTCTGATAGCACAAGGAAGGACTGGATCTTGCCTCTGTCAGTTCCCATCTGAGTGATGCTGAGCAAGTCACTTAGCATGTGGAGCCTCAGTGCACTCGGGTGTACAACAGGCATAACCTCCACACCTTGAAGGACCGTTCTGAGGACACAATAAAATCACCAACGTGAACTGGCAAAAGCCATCATAGCTTGTGGCAAGTGGCAACACATGCTCAATAAATTTTAGTCTCTTTCCCCAAGTTCTTCCCAGCATCTAGAGTCACTGCTGAATGCTTATAACATCTCAGAATTTTCGTGGACAGTCTTTAAAAGAACTGTTCATTTTCTCCCTTGTCTTTCTTCGTGTACATGAGGTTTTTGGGGGTGGAGGTGGGGAGTGGAATCTGTTATTCAACAGTCTGCTTCAGAGTTAGTTTTGTTTGGGGTATTTTTTTGTCTCACCTTCTTAAGAGGGTAGAAAGAGAAAATAAGTGGGTGAGCGTTAAGACATAAAAGTCCACGGAAAAAAGGTCCAAACTATCAGAAAAATATCAGACAACCTTTAAGCAATCTCTGACAAATAAAAGAAACTTAGTAAAATTTTAGTAGATCTATATTTTCCCCTAGAGCTACAGAAATCCTCTGCATGTACATTCCTTGACCAAGAACTGCTTTAAAAACCTCCTCATTTTCCTTAGGGGAGCAGTTAAGGCAAAGAGTGACATTTCACACACTCTAAACACTCAAAATCAGGGTTTTCCCTTCTCTCTCCTCATTTACCTTTTCAGTCTTCAGGCTATTTTTCTCACCCTGAAGCAACATCCAAAGGCCTATTTCTTTTTTTAAAAAAAAGGTTTTTAACAGCTAACACAAACTAGATACGTCTGTTTTTCTCTAGAATGGGCTTTAAAACTTGAGTTAGCTCCCACTAAGGGAATAGAGCTTCCTTTGCACACAGCCTATTTTGAAATAAATGAGGCAATTCTGGGTAATAAATTGGCTTTAATTCACTGATACCGAAGGAAGGTGAAAACGAGATTGGGAAATTGCTGTGGTCATCTTGGACGAACCCGGGAGGATAGGGGACATGTCAACAAACTGGAGACACACAAACACCCTCCCGTGTTCCAAAAGGGGAAACAGGCCATTCCTGCAGACTGAAGTCCAGTGATGGCAAACCAATGAGCATGACACAGACACCTGGTAAGTTTCCGAAGATTCATAATAAGGTATTTTGTGAGTGCTTACAAACGAAAAGGGCCTACATGGGCTTACTGAAAATAAATCACGCCAAACTGACTGTATTTTATCTCAACGGGAAATAAGAAAGGGGAAAAGACCATAGCATTTAGTGAGAACTCTACTATACGTCAGGAATCATAAGTCAGAAGAAAAGCGTAGACATAAATGTCTGGACTTGACCCGAAGGATCTGAGAAGGCCTCTCCCAGCTGCCCTGTGTACAAGTAGAGGCTGAAGGCAGGACAAGCAGGTGGATTCATAGCTAGTGAAGGACAGTTCCAGGACAAAGGGTCCTGGACTTTGAATGGATGACTGACCACAGGGAGAGTCCCAGATCTTTGATGCAGGGCTCTTTCCTGTCCCCTTGGCACTATCCTCTTCAATATAATGGATGATAGTAGCATCTAGACCTAAAAATGTCCCTAAAAGGGTGACTCACATACAACTGTTACCAATGATGACAAAGGAGAAGTAATTCAACTAAACAATCAGAGAAAAGGGGAGAAGAGAACTATGGCACACCTGCAGAACACCCACAGCTACCAGGACCAGGAATTTCAGCTCAGGGGGGAAGGACGTCACAAGGGGGGTAAGGGACCAAAGAAGAGTCCTTAAGGATGGAAAACAAGACAAAGAGTAAATCCTCAACCAGTGAGCCTCTGACGGATGCAGCCAATGGCGTGCATGGACCTCTCTGCAGTTCTCCTTCATGGCAGAGCCATTAAGGATGCAGTCACCTGGGGGGACATCCTGGCTGAGGAAATTCTGAGAGCAAATGTGTGTGTGAAGGGAATATCTATAAAGAGCATATATGTCTGATTATAAAGTGAACTCTTTTTCTGAGGTCAAAAAATCAACCTACCACTGTTTTCACATAAAATCCTCTTCTCACCTAGTTCCCTGACTCTGAGAATGAGCATTAACAACCAGAGACGCACTAGAGCAAGGCCACACTAGAAGTGTGTTAGGTCAGGGCAGGGGTAAGGGGCAGGGAGAGGAACCTCAGAGCCCAGCGATCATCCAAGGGAAAACAGGCGCATCATTTTTGCAAGATACACCACTTTAGGGTCAGGAGTAGCCCAACAGC